TCCACACACACCCATCCAAACACCCATCCAAACACTTATCCACACACCCATCCACACACACCCCATCCACACACCCATCCAAACACTTATCCACACACCCCATCCCTCACACCCATCCACACACCCATCCACACACCGATCCACACCCATCCACACCCCATCCACACACCCATCCAAACATCCACACACCATCCACACACCCATCCACACACCCATCCACACACACCCATCCAAACACTTATCCACACCCATCCACACACACCCATCCACACACCATCCACACACCGATCCACACACACCCATCCACACACCCATCCACACACACCCATCCAAACCCTTATCCACACACACCCATCCACACACACCCATCCACACACCCATCCACACACCCCATCCACACACCCATCCCAAACCCCTTATCCACCACACCCATCCACACACCCATCCACACACCCATCCAAACAACATCACACACCCATCCACACACCCATCCACACACCCATCCAAACATATCCACACACCCCATCCACCCATCCACACACACCCATCCACACACCCATCCACACACACCCATCCAAACATATTCACACACCCATCCACACCCATCCACACACCCATCCACACACCCATCCAAACATATCTACACCATCCACACACCATCCACACACCCCAATCCACACACCCATCCACACACCCATCACACACACCCATCCACACACCCATCCACACACACCCATCCAAACATATCCACACACCCATTCACTTTTCCATCCACACACCCCATCCACACACCCATCCAAACCTTATCCACACACCCATCCACACACCACCCATCCACACACCCATCCACACACCCATCCACACACCCATCCAAACACTTATCCACACACCCATCCACACACCCATCCACACACCCATCACACACACACCCATCCAAACACTTATCCACACACCCCATCACACACCCATCCACACACACCCATCCACACACCGATCCACCCCATCCACACACACCCCATCCACACCCATCCAAACACTTATCCACACACCCATCCACACACCCATCCACACACCCATCCACACACACCCATCAAACACTTATCCACCCACCCATCCACACACCCATCCACACACCCATCCACACACACCGATCCACACACTTACCCATCCACACACACCCATCCACACACCCATCTCCAAACCTTATCCACACACACCCCGTCACACACCCATCCACACTTATCCACACACCCATCCACACACCCATCCAAACACTTATCCACACACACCATCCACACACCCATCCACACACCATCCAAACACTTGTCACACACACCCATCCACACACCCATCCACACACCATCCACACACCGATCCACACACCCATCCACACACCCATCCACACACAACCATCAAACACTTATCCACACACTCATCCACACCCATCCACACACCCAATCCCACACACTCATCCAAACACTTATCCACGCACCCATCCACACACCGATCACCACCCATCCACACCCATCCACGCACCGATCCACACACCCATCCACACACCCATCCACACAACCATCAAACACTTCCACACCCATCCACACACCGATCCACACACACCCATCCACACACCCCATCCACACACTGAATACACACACCCATCCACACCCCATCCACACACACCAGTCACACCCTCCACACACACACCCATCCACACACACTCATCCAAACACTTATCACACCCATCCACTGTCCATCTATATCTATCCTGTCATATCTACCCATCCATCCACACACCCATCACACACCCATCCACACACACCCATCCAAACACTTATCCACACACACCCACATCCACACCATCCACACACACCCATCCACACACACACCGATCCACACACCCATCCACGCATCCACACACACTACCCATCCGGCTTATCACACCCCATCCACACACCCATCCACGCACCATCCACACACACTCGTCCACTTGCCATCCACACACCTCATCCAAACAATTATCCACACACACCCATCCACACACACCGATCCACACCCCATCACGCATCACATGACCAAACCTTATCCACACACCCATCCACACACCCATCCACACCCATCCACACACCCATCCACACACACACACCCATCCAAACACTTATCCACACACCATCCACACCCCATCCACACCCATCACACACCCATCCAGCATATCCACACACCCCATCCACACACCCATCCACACACCCATCCACACACCCATCCACACACCCATCCAAACACTTATCCACACCCATCCACACACCCATCCACACACACCCATCAAACACTTATCCACACACCCATCCACACCCATGCACACACACCTTCCACCCATCCACACCCATCCACACACACTCATCCAAACACTTATCCACACACCCATCCACACACCGATCCACACACCCATCCACACCCCATCCACACCCCCCATCCAAACACTTATCCACACACCCATCCACAAACCCATCCACACACTTATCCACCATCAAACCTTATCCACACGCCCATCCACACACCCATCCACACACACCATCAAAACACTTATCCACCCATCCACTATCACATATCCACACACCCATCCAAACCTTATCCACACCCATCCACACACCCATCCACACACCCATCCATACACCCATCCACACACTTCCATCAAACCTTATCCACACACTTACATCCACACACACCCATCCAAACACTTATCCACACACCCATCCACACACCCATCCACACCCATCCACACACCCATCCACACACCCATCCACACACCCATCCAAACCCTTATCCACACACCCATTCACACACCCATCCACACACCCATCACACACCCATCCACACACCATCCACACACCCATCCACACACACCCATCCACACACCCATCCAAACACTTATCCACACACCCATCCACACACCCATCCACACACCCATCCAAACATATCCACACACCCACATCCTCCACCCATCCACACACCCATCCACACACAGATCACACACACCATCCACACACCCATCCACACACCCATCCAAACCTTATCCACACACACCCATCCACACATAAATCCACACACCCATCCACACACCCATCCAAACACTTATCCACACACCCATCCACACCCATCCACCACCACACCCATCCACACACCGATCCACACACATCCACACACCCATCCACACACACCCATCCAAACATATCCACACACACCCATCCACACACCCATCCACACACCCATCCACACACACCCATCCAAACCTTATCCACACACCATCCACACACCCATCCACACACCCATCCAAACATCCACACACCCCATCCACGCCATACACACACCCCATCCACACACCGATCCACACCCATCCACACACACCATCCACACAACCATCAAACAGCAATCCACCACACCCATCCACCCATCCACACACCCCATCCACACACCCATCCACACACTCATCCAAACAGCATCCACACACCCATCCCGCACCGATCCGCACACCCCATCACACACCCCATCCACACACACCACGATCCACACCCATCCACACCCATCCACACAACCATCCAAACATATCCACACCCATCCACACACCCATCCAAACACTTATCCACACACCCATCCACACCCATCCCACACACCCATCCACACACCGATCCACACACACCCCATCCACACACCCATCCACACACCCATCCAAACACTTATCCACACACACCCATCCAAACACTTATCCACACACCCATCCCACACACCCATCCACACACCCATCCACACACCCATCCAAACACTTATCCACACACCCATCCACATCCCATCCCACACACCCATCCACACACCCCGATCCACACCCATCCACACACCCCATCCACACACACCCATCAAACACTTATCCACACACACCCATCCACACACCCATCCAAACTACCTCACACACCCCATCCACACACCCATCCACACACCCATCCACACACCCATCCACACACCCATCCACACACCCATCCAAACATATCCACACACCCATCCAAACCTTATCCAAACACTTATCCACACACCCATCCACACACCCATCCACACACCCATCCACACACCCATCCACACACCCATCCACACACCCATCCACACACCCTTCCAAACATACTCATAAAACACCTTTATTTTAACCCCTTTCTCTCTTTACGTCCGCCTCATCATCTTCTTTGTTTATTTTTAATTAGTAACAATTATCACCCTTTTGTTTTATTCCCCAATCGTTCTTTTATTTTCCTTGTCGTCTTTGTCCTCTCCTATTTTTATCAACCTTCGCTTGTGTCCGTTTTCGCTCTCACTTCATGTAGTATTTTCCTGTTTCTTTGTTTTGTTTATTTTCACCATTGGACAAACAGAATCGGTGTTTTTCTTATGTTTACCAACTCTGTATAAAACAATGTTACTTTGACAATGAATAAATATAAGTCAACAAAAATTGACATATATTATTACTGTTATTTTGACATTAGAGAAAATATTTACATTATTTTGTCATTTAGGCAATATTTATCTTTACAATTTCATACAGCCATTGGATTTCACATTAGCTTAGCATTTAACGTTTGTAATGAATGCTATTTTTGACACTCAGCATAGAGATGTATTTTAGTTTGACCTTTGACTTAGAAATAATTTTTACTTTGACATTTGACAATCTGTTTATTTAATGTCATGATAATTGTGATTACCTCCTGGTGTTGTCATGACGTGTGGCCATTTGTGATCTGTATGGCACTTGTTTCTCTCTCTATCATCTCCGAGGCATTAGACCTTTTTCTATGTCTAATTTGAAGATACTTTAATCCTATGACTTTCTCTCTCAGTGTAAGGAAAGTTGTGTGACCTCATCTGTCTAATTCTAAGTGACCTTAAGTTCACATGTGTTTATTTCTAAATCACCTTGCCCTTATCTATGTCTAAGTGACCTTGACCTCCCCCGACAGTGACCCGACAGTACACGCCCTTCAGTTCCTGGACGTGATCAACATGAAAGATCCCACCCAGAAGACCCACTTCTACCGCACCACCCTCATGGAGGTCCTCCCGCACATCCCTCAGGTCAGTCCAGGTCATCCTACTGTACATGTCCCTCAGGTCATTTCAGGTCGTCGAAGTCCTCTCACGTAAACCTCAGGTCAGTTCAGGTCCTCTGAAAAATCTCTCAGGTCTTGTCAGGTCAGAATTGTCAGAATTTGTCAACACGAAATTAAACTTTTTTTTAGCGTTACCTGGTGAATTAATTAAGGTAGGTGTGAGGGTGTTGACGTTACCTGGTGAATTAATTAAGGTAGGTGTGAGGGTGTTGACGTTACCTGGTGAATTAATTAAGGTAGGTGTGAGGGTGTTGACGTTACCTGGTGAATTAATTAAGGTAGGTGTGAGGGTGTTGTCGTCATGGCTTCCTCTCGTGAAGATCACATTTAGACGCTTAACCTTAGGGTGACCTCCGCCCCCTGTGCCTTGGTCATGAATGAGATGTGGTTTATTTTAGTCGTGAATATGATCTCGTGTTGGTTTAATGTTTTGTGGCTTATTTTAATCATAATAGTCCCTGGGGTTATGTGGCGATAAGAATAATATTAATTAATTTTATCATTGAAGTTATTCCCTACAAGAGTAATAATAATGGAAGCCCCTCGAAATCGAGGATGGCCGGCCCTAGGGCCACCTAGACGTGAATTTGTTTAAGGTGTAGTAGCTGTCGCCAACACAACAACAGCACCCTGAGTTAACGAACTGCATGACCCAGTGTCAAGGAATAGTCCGAGAAGACCGGACGACTCGCCAACTGCACTGGCTAACCATTACCCCGAAATACGATCCGCAAATCGATTAACATCCAGGTGCCCAATTGCTGCTGGGTAGACAGAGGCAAATGGCGTAAAGAAACTTGTCCATAGTTTCACCATTCCTGGGGATCGAACCCGGATCCGTTCGTTTGCGAGGCGAGCATGCTGACCAATACAAGAGTGACACTGAGAGGAGACATAATCATTGCCTCTATAAAGACCTGGGAAGGTTATACGTAGTGAATGACGTCATACTTCGTTATATCAAGTTTAAAGACGGAGAGATGAATATTATACGATATGACATTAATTCCATGTTTTTTTATTATTTTACTCTCCTAGTGGGCAAAGAATGAACTAAAATAAGACAAAGACTGATAGAGGATACCTATTATGTGTGTGTGTGTGTGTGTGTGTGTGTGTGTGTGTGTGTGTGTGTTTATTTGTGAGAGAATGAACACAAACAAATAACAATTAAAACGGGGAGATCCAATTCCAATTAACAAGACGTAACACTAATCAACACACCTGTACCTCTAGCCGATGGAATTGTATTTACTTTTTTAATATATTTTTGTGTGTGATTTTTAGCGAACACACATACATACACACACACACGCGCGCGCGACGCCCGGACTCGGCTGTAACCACCAGAGAGGACAATTACACACTTACAGTTGACAACCAATCAACCCCTGTGCCCCCCCCCTCCCCATCTCCCATATCCCTAAGAGATCACAGCACCTCAATAAAGCGCTTCTGATTGGTGAAGGAGGCAATATCTTGTTGACTTGACTGACCAATCACCACCTTCGTTACTGTTAATTGCGAATTCCCGTTTCCAGTCACCTTTTTTTACAGAAAACGTGTAGCTGAGTAGTTAAGAATTGGGAGGGTGTAAGGAGGGTTATTTATATACTCAGGTATGAAGAAATAATTTCTATATCAATAACATCCGTTGTTATTGATCTTAAATCGTCCGTTTGACTCGAAGTATCGGCCTCTTATCCTAATCGCAAAATGGTGACAACAGTAACAATGTCTTACCAAGCAACGAACCCACGAGCAACTCTTTTGAACAACACAAAAATTCCAAACCATGCAAACAAAACGGATCTACATTACGTTAACTAATCATAAACGACGTAACAAGTTATTTAGAGTACTTGAAGCAATAACAAACTTGGTAACAAGTCATTTTGATAACAGTATCCAATCACAGACCACGCACGTAAATACAGTCTCTCACAAAACTAGAAAACTTACGGCAATCAACTAACAAATCATTTATATTTTGCTTCATCCACTCACAAACCTCATATTTAATTTCCTAGACAATAACCCAATCCCTGGCCTTGACGTAAGCCTTATAGCCTCCAGCGTCCGTCCAATCAGAAGCCGTGTACCAGAGACTGGGAATATATAGCCAGGAGGTGACCTGTGCAGCTGGCAATACCCTGGGAATTACACACGGGGATTAAACGTCCTGCTCTACCCCCGATATGGTATCCCACTCTCCTGATTTGGTGCCCCCCCCCCTCTCCCTGATCTGAGACCCTTGTGATCTAGGATCATTTTTCTTGGGACCCCTGTTTTAGGATTCCCTTTTCTGGGACTCTCCTCACGACCTGATGAACCCCTTCTCTTGTATCATTTCAGGATAGTTTACACGTTAAAGTCCTTTATTGATACCCCTCCCCTCCCAGGACCACTCCCTCTTCCAGGACCACTACTTCTTCCAGGACCACTCCCTCTTCCAGGACCACTACCTCTTGAACGACCACTCCCTCTTCCAGGACCACCCCATCTTCCAGAACCACCCCCTCTACTTCTAGGACCACTCCCTCTTCCAGAACCACCCCTCTACTTCCAGGACCACACCCTCCCCTTCCTCTGAGATCTGTCCCAGAACCCCTTCCTCTAAGACCCACACCGCTGTAGGATCTTCCCACCATTACCTCCCAGCCACCCATCCCTCTCAACTATACCTCCCTCCCATCCCTTTTACCAAATCCTCCTACCCATCCCTCCCACCTACAGGATGACCAGCGTAATGAATGCAGTAAATTGGGGGCAGGACTTGCGAGGGATTAAGCCAGACATCACCTACATTTTCCTAGTATGTGTGTGTGTGTGTGTGTGTGTGTGTGTGTGTGTGTGTGTGTGTGTGTGTGTTTAGTTTTCATGAATAGAGTTTCGTGTTAATTGTGGGTTGGATATAGTTCAGGTTTGTGTTATGTATTGCAGATGTGTATTTACCGGCGTGGCTTTGAATCTGGTGCTGTTGTCTTTTGAAATATGTAAACACACAGACAACAAGCACACACACACACACACAGAGACAAGCACACACACACAAAACAGACAAACACACACACACACACACACACACACACACACACACACACACACATACATACACACAGACACACACAGACAACAAGCACACACAGACACACACAGACAGACACAGACAGACAAGCGCACACGCACACACACACACACATACACACACAGACAGACACGCACACACACACACACACACACACACACACGCGGTTCAAAGTCCGAAATAAAATGTTGGTGTTTTTCTCTGCCTGAGTTTAATTAGTCCCGCGTCACAGGACTACCTGAGTATTATGTCTCCCTGTGTGTGTGTGTGTGTGTGTGTGTGTGTGTCTGTGTGTGTGTCTGTCTGTCTGTCTGTGTGTGTCTGTGTGTGTGTGTGTGTCTGTCTGTCTGTCTGTGTGTGTCTGTGTGTGTGTGTGTGTCTGTCTGTGTGTGTGTTATTGTTTGATTGTGGGTTTTGGGGGAAGGGGGCTAAATCATATGCTGTAGGCTTTATTTGTTAAGGAGTTCGTAAGTTTTGTAATCTCTCTCTCTCTCTCTCTCTCTCTCTCTCTCTCTCTCTCTCTGTTCTGTATACTCGTCACCAGGACATGAATATACCTGCATGATGGTAACGAGATAAGACTTACATCCAACAACAACATCTAGATAGACTCTCAGCAGCAACATCTAGATAAACTCTCAGCAACAACTAGATAGACTCTCAGCAGCGGAATCTAGATAGACTCTCAGCAGCGGAATCTATCGGTGAAATATGAGTTAAGACTTCAAAGGGAACGTCATTAACATTTTTCCCTTGATGGCGAGACACACGGCTGACTGCCTGGTCAGGTGGCCAAGGCTTCACTATAGAGCATTGGTGTCTACTACTGGCTTCCAGTCCTCCTGACTTCCTGTCCTACTGGCTTCCAATCCTAATGGCTTCCAATCCTACTGACTTCCTGTCCTACTGGCTTTCAATCCTTCTGGTTTCCAGTCCTACTGACTTCTTAGTCATAAGAAATAAGAATGGAGGAAACTGCAGCAGGCCTATTGATCCATACTGGGCAGTCCCGTTTACACCCAACCCCTATCGCTCATATATCCCTCCAACCTATGTTTGAAGCTATCCAGCGCATTCGAGTCAATGATGATGTTTGGTAACTTGTTCCACTCATCCACTACTCTATTTCCAAACCAATGTTTACCTATCTCGCGCCTAAATCTAAATTTGTCTCGTTTAAAACCATTACTACGAGTTCGCTCCTGGTTGGGTAGTTTGAGTACCTTTGTTATATCACATTTGTTTAACCCTGACTTCCATTTATGCACCTCGATCATGTCGCCCCTCATTCTACGTCTCTCGAGGGAGTGCAAATAAAGATGCTTTAACCTGTCTCTGTACTCAAAGTTCCTAATGCCCGAGATTAGTCTTGTCATACTCCTCTGAATTTTTTCTAGGGATTCTATATCCATTCTATAGTATGGTGACCAGAATTGAACTGCGTAATCCAAGTGAGGTCTCACAAGCGCAAGATATAGTTTTAGGATAACCTCGCTAGTCTTGTAACTAACACTCGTTTGTGTGAACCCAAATACTTTGATAGCCTTGTTTGTAGCAAATACACATTGTTGATTTGGTTTAAGATTCCTACTTATAATTACTCCTAAATCTTTCTCACAGTCGGATTTCTCTATAACAATGTTGTTCATTTGATATCTGGTTTCTCTGTTTACATCTCCTAGACTAAGTACTTTACATTTGTCCACATTCAATTTATTCTGCCATTTTTCAGGCCCTTCGAAATTTTTTTTAGATCTTCCTGTAGTTTGCGGAGTCTTCTTCAGCTTTAATTACACGCCCTATTTTAGTGTCATCAGCAAATTTACTTATGTTGCTGTCTACGCCTATATCTATGTCGTTTATTATATATAAATAATAATGGTCCAAGTACTGAGCCTTGGGGTACTCCACTAGTGACGTTACCCAATCGGATTTAGTGCCGTTAATGCTTACTCGCTGTTCCCTGTCCTGTAACCACACCCTAATCCATTTTAGAATATCTCCTCCAATGCCATGAGCCTCCACTTTTCGTATTAATCTTTTGTGGGGGACTTTGTCGAAGGCTTTGCTAAAGTCGATATATACCAGCATCATAGTCGTGCCTGTCGTCCACTGATTCTAAAACAGTTGAAAAGAATGTTAATAGATTAGTTGGACATGAACACCCGCTTGTGAAGCCATATTGAGTAATCAATGATCAACTTGTACTTCTCCAGGTGATTTCGAATAGACTTTTAAAATTATTGCTTCCTGCAATATTTCCAATCCCACTGGCCTCCAATCCGACTGGCTTCCAGTCCTACTAGCTTCTAATCCTACTGGCGTCCAGTCCTACTGGCTTCCAATCCTACTGGCGTCCAATCCTACTGGCGTCCAATCCTTTTGGCTTCCAATCCTTTTGACTTATAATAACAGTACTTATGTCAGATAAGATTGGACTGCGTATTATTATTTGAAGTGCTGTGGCCGTGGGATGCACTGTTCCCATCTTTTCCTGTAACAGCACCATTTGTATTATATAAATGTTTACCCAAATGTATATTACCCACATATTCACCAAGTCATTCACCCATGAGTATGAATCAATTGGTGAGTTGACATTTCCTCTGGGGAGCAGGCGAGGTCAAGCTTGGTCAGCGCAGCTCAGCAACAAACAATCTGACGCGTTTCCTTTAAGACCCGCCTGACAACTGTCTCTCCCTGGTGTGAGAGAGACTATCATATCACCTGTTACCCAGTGAACACCTCACTTAAGTGTTCTCCTATACAAGTGCACTAAGACACTTCCCTGAGCAGAGAAGGTACAATATACTCTCAACTGAACTCAGTACCTGTAAAACTATATTTTTCTACAATAAAGCAAAACCAACAAAGTGTTTAATTCAGCCCTGCCACTTATCAATTCAAGAACTAATATATATATATATATATATATATATATATATATATATATATATATATATATATATATATATATATATATATATATATATATATATATATATATATATATATATATATATATGTGTGACCAACACATTCCTGAGGGTAGTTAGTTCGATTCTGGGGCACTGCCAATCCACCCACTTGGCTGTATATGGACACCAGAGGCTCAGTTAGTCCAGGAGCATTAGACAAATTATATGATATAAGAAGAAAACTTCTCTCCCAACCAGCATAGGAACGTTCACAATTCAACCGAACAATGATATAATTAGCACAAGGACAGTGGCGACCATCGTGGACGCGATCTTTAATTGTAGAAATTTCTCAAGAAATTTTGTGGTGTAATTTGGACATGTTACTCAGAACATAATTCAACATCTTTCCTGAAAATTTCGGCTTTGGACTAATTGTTTTTATTTCAAATTTAATGCTCCTGGACTATGTATGCAGGTAAAGATATAGGCTGGTCAAAAGTATGGTGGACCCCTAAAAATTGCAACTAAACGTTTTTCAATTCATTTATTTTGTCTTTGGTGTGTGTGAAATCACATACTAAAAGTTTACCACAATTGACCAACGGGAAAGCTGTAAAAATATACCGTATCTAAAATGGCGGACGCTTCAACCTCCCGCAGCCAATATCTTAAGAATAGTCTGCTATAAATTCAACAAAAGTATTAATTATAAATACGAACGAATTGATACTTCCTCTAGACACTTTACGTTTGACACTATTCGTCTTCGTCGTCTTCCTTCATGGCAACACAACTAGTAACGTTGTCACAACAGTCAGTCTGGCCAATTGATCTCACTCAACACTCCAGCCTCAGTTGACGGGATTCATTCTCTTTTCATCACCCATCCACACCATGACTTTACAGTCCGTACTGAGAGTCTGAGACAGTGAAATCTTGTCACAGAGGCAGTTGGGTTTGTCGTTCAGGTGTAACAACAAACTAATTTTCTATCACGTCTTTTCTGGTTAAGGATTTGTAACTGAGGGATGCAAGTGAATATGATAGTTTACCATTGAACAAAGAGACCAACATCTTGCTCCCAGAGGCCTCTACCATGGAGTTTTGCTGACCTGGCGAACAGAATAGTTTTGTTCGGTCATAAATGATCGAGTCAGCTTTTACGAGTTTCTGGAATACATTTTTTTTTCCAGATACCAAATATCCTTGCAGTAGTGTCACATCTTATAAAATTACAGCAAATGTATACAGAGTTCACCATCAAGTACATTTTTTAGGATATTAATGTTGAAAACTTTGATTTTAGATTTCGAGTGACTGTCAGAGAGGAAGTAAAGCTTATTGTTTATTAAATTTGTATAATGTAAAAGTAGAAGTAAAAGATCAGTGTTGTTGACTGTGAAGTTGCTGAGTCTACATCTGCGTCCTTCTCTGCTTGAATAACTTGGCATCCCTTTTATTTGAGATGTTCTGATATAAGGTTAATAATTCCTTGTTTATATAAGTCGTTAGAGGAAATTCT